TATATATATATTTAAATAAGTAATTATTTAATAAAAGTAAATTACATAATTATTACATAATTCGTGATGAAAATTTTTATCTCCTTATTATCGTCGATAAATGTAGCTAAATAGATATTACTGATTATATTATATACCTTTATTCTTCATTATCGAGCTCATTAATTACGTTCTAAATACGTTCGTAAAATGAATATTATTCAGATAAATTATATCTTTATATCTTTATGCATAAAGATTGATCGTGTGTATTCGCTATTTGATTATTTGCTCCATTTCGAAGCGTTATACACGGCAGAGCGATTTAACTTTTAAGCCTAATATATCGTTAGTGGGCAAACGAGTTTCTTGCGCAATTCCGGGAGCGATAATTTTGCACCTACACGAGAATTCCGGGCATAGTTATGCGTTATTATTTCATTGAGATAGTTCATGAAAGTTACAACGAGAAAAATTAGTACGGGAACTAGTATCGACTTTTAAAATCATTGGACGTGTTGACTGTCTGGTGAGTACGTAAATCAAGAAAGAAAAAGGAAGAGATTTATGAAGCGTTAGCAGCTTGGCAATTAATGTAGACACCATCTGTTAATGTACATCCATCTCCTAACGATTTCTACGTAAGATAATTAATCGCGAGAAGTTGCGTAACGAGATTAGCAGTGACGCTTTGCGTACAACTCAAAAATTATAATAGATAAATTTTATTTTGTGGATCCAATGGAATATATTATTTATTGCAGTTTCTAGGATGATCCTTTAATCTGCATAATACATGTTTAAATAGATATTCATAAATCAGGAATAATATATAATTGGATGTAGGAAAATTAGTATCTAGAGTAGAGAAAAACTTGCAAAAATTCCATTTTTTTATTATGATGAACTACAGCAGCAATATTATGGATTCGTAATAAATTATTGAGATCTCTTCGCACCCACATAGTTTTAATAATATTAAACTTTGGACGCCTGCACAAGTATAAAATTCTTGGAGAATAGAAACTAGAAATGTATCTGGAATGCTCTGTCAATTCAGACAAGGATGAGCGATGAAATCAGATACAAAGGGATGTCAAGAAAATCGGGCCTTTTCGGCTCTACTCGGTATTTCTCGCATCCAGATGTTCACGGAATATTCTACAGAGGTCTAGGTATATTTTTTTGTATCAGAAGTTAAGCATTTCGAGTACGTTGGTGCGTTCTTCCTCAATATTCGTCCATCATTATCGTTGCTTAAATAATTCGGAACAATTCTTCATCTTAGCGAATTTCAGACTGTACGACTTTTATTTATTTCCTGATCTGACATTTAATTTTTTGTACTTGTTCGATTTTTGTAATAGCAATGACTTTAAACTAACGCGATGGCATAAGCACGCAACAGCAAAACGTACATGGAACATTTTCAAGGATAGTTGCAGAGATGCAACTCGTAGATATTGCCCAGTTGAATTATCTATCATTGTGCTTCAATAACAACGTCGTCAGATAATGTATTATTACGATTATCATCAGACTTTATTTTATTACATGATAAAGTAAGTTTATCGTTGAAGAGAAATGAGCTCATGTAGAGGGGATAAAGTTGTGAGAACCAACAGAGATGCGTTTATTCTGTCTGGTGCGTCGATCGTAGTTGGTCGGTTGCAGTGGGTTTCTTTTTCACGGTTTTCTTTGAAAGTCTAGGTTAACTCGATTCAACAAGGAAAGGTGCGATGACGATTATTATAGTTGAACCGAAGAATTAATTCATAGCATAAATTATATTTATCTAAAGATTTATTGCTTCTTGACGATGAAACGGCTACTTAATAAAATAACTTAAAATGATTACTTAATAAGTCGTGTTAAAATAATTATTAACGTGATACAAGAAATAGATGTGATATCAAATAATGATAGAGAGGAGAAACATAATTGCTATATAAGTGCTGTGAACGCATTATACATGTCACGGATGTGCGTGCGTGCGTGTGTGTGTGTGTGTGTGTGCGTAAGCGTGACTCACGATTCTTCTTAATTCCTCACAGTGTATAATTAGTATAAGTAAGCCTTAATTCGTCGTTTAGTTGTTTTTCCATTGTCTCGTACGATCTCTAGCGATCTTGCGAGCGTGTGAAAGACTTGTGACGATGCTATGTCGTATGTTCAATGTAAGGTCTAAATCCCTCTCTCCCTCTCTCTCTTTCTCTCTCATACTCTCTTTCTTTCGCATGTATCTTTCGTCCCACGCGCTGCTCGTGCTGATAGACGAGATTATGTATCCAACTCACCGGCTGGTGAGAAGCGTCGGTTGATCCGCAAGAAAAATCCGCAACTTCGTACCTCGGAATTTTTCCACGGAATGCGTAGAACCCTCTCGAGCGTCTTTTCACCGAAGTTTTCATTGAAAAGGTGTACCGCCGCTTGATGCCCATAAGAGTTTTCGAGAAATAACGTCTTTCATAACTTTACGGGAACTCCGTTGAAATCTACGGGCGATGCCTTTGGATACGCGAAAATAGATCCCAGGTTGGCAAGCCACCAGCGCGAAAATAATTTGGCGATACCGACGGCTAACGGCGAAATTACCTTTGTCGATATTCTCTCGATTATTATGAGAGTACAATTTCATTGAGGCACGTAAGGTAGCAGCGTACTGTTGGCAAACCGTATGTAATACGGTGCGACAAGCTGAGTCGTCTAATATTAGGACTGAAACCCCGGCTAAACCTAAGTCAAATAGAGAAGAACGTTCGCAAACTGCAAATCCGAAATGTCCCATACTGGATTACGTCGATTTGCTCTGTAAACGTTTACAGCTTTTTGCACTTGCCGCGCGCAAGAAGTTATGCGGTAGCCGGTGGACCATCTGTTTTCGTGACAAAAGTTATTCCAGAATAGCTAGACTAGGAATGATCGTACTAAGCACACACGCACGCAGTTGTATAGAAAAACGTTTATCTTATGTACAATGGCAGCTTGATAGCAAGAAATATTATTTAAAAAAAATAATAAAAAATTATTATACACTTGTAATTGTACGATACGACACTCTTTATGTGCACAGATCTCGCTTTTGTTGTTGCGATAGGAGTAATCAACCACCGTGTAATTGCATTGTAGGCGCGCATTTGATGATTTATAAATCGATATAAATATCGTTCTGTCTTTGTTACTCGTAGATGTCAAGAATGATGTTTGTGTCCTAACTGGAAAGCACCCACTCATATTGTTTGGCTCGATTGTTATCATGTTCAGTTCCCTCTTTGAATGTACGAAACGTAGTTACGGACTGTGTGTTCACAGGGCGATGCGCCTACTTTCGATATCGATCGGGTCAGGGAAGCGTTAATCCGTCTTACATCCATGTTCTAGGAGTATTCCCTACGACGGAATAGATAGATACGGGAAGGTAATTTGTGATTATCGCGATATTAAAGTTTAATTTTGACAATCGGGGCCGTGTCGATTTTTGATTGACGGCACCGATGATCGTTAAGTCAACGAGGTAATATATTGCGGATAAAACTTTCATGTAATCGCTATATAAAGTAGTAGGAGTGAAAAAGTAGTACAAAAAAATCCGATACGAAAGAATTAATTAATGCGTCTCTTTCGCAGAAATAATATGTTAAATAAATTTATATGTTTATTTCTATTAAATTTATACAATACGTTAATATTATATATAAGGAAAATGTAATATAAATTAATAATACGTATTATTTTATACAAACGTTAATGTTAATTAATATTTTAGAGATTGCATGTATATGATATATTATTCGAGATATTTCAAGTAAAATCATCATTTCAATTGAAATATTATAGCGTGAGCGTTACATTTACTGAAAGAGATCGATTTCAATTAAAAAAAAAGATCTTAAACAAGGTAGATTAACGGTTGCACTAAGGCAGGGGATAATGACGTAATTGTAATGTCTTCGAGAGGCAATAGCCGTATCCATGTCATTCAACACTATGTCGCGTAACTAAAGTTCCCTTTCGCCTCCGTGTTGCCGTGGTAAAAACTTCTCCCGTGTTTCTTTCGTGACTGAAACATGGAAGTAACATTAACCTACTGCACTCAATATATATTCGTGTGACTTTTACGTGTGTATATCTTTAGTGATTGTGATAGATTTTCTGCTAGTATTAGTGAAGTTAGCCGTTTTACGTTGAATAAATCTTATACGCCACCTCTTACAGAATATCTATCTCATAATAGATAGTTAATAAATTTATAGTCCATAAAGGTGCCAACTATAAATATTTATTATTACTATTTAATGTCAATAATTTGGCTTGAGATAAAGAAATATAGAGACTCAATTACGCGTCATTCACGTACCACGATGTATGTATATAAAATTCCGTTTATACGTATTTCCGTTTAGTATTTCGTAATTTGACAGAAAGTAATCGTTAAAATGTTTATCTCTCATCATGAAATTCGTCAGAAAATTTGACGTATTTCAATCAACCTTCTCAAGTTCTACTTCTGAACAATTATGTTTCGCGTGTGTTACCATGGATGATGCGTGATTCTGATTGGCGTTGCGACAACAATATCCAAGCATGCAACTCTCTTCCCAAGTGTATTAATCGATCGATATCGACGTGACCCAGGTTTCGTTCAAGGAACGCGTCCCGGAAAACGGCGATCGCCATCGCGTTGCATTCGCGTTGCATCAAAATTGTTTTAATACATTTTACGCACACGTCAAACGCTGGACGTTGCAAAATTGAGTCGTCAACTATCGAGAAAAAATGAAATTTGGAAATTTATATCACTTTCAATATTCTCGGCTGAATCTTGACGATAATTCAGTATAGCGATTTGTGTATCGGCACGTTCGCTTCAACAGGTTTCCAGTTCAGAAACATTATGTAACTCTACATATTTTTAATCTATAGCTTGAAGTGTTTTAATATATTCCGGAATTTTAATATATACCGCGGTATATATTACGTCACTAATATCATGCATAAAAAGCACGATTATCTTGCTCGTTGTCATGTATCTCGCATGTATTGGAGTATAATTATGCAATGTTGATTATTTTTGTAGTTTCGATCAATACAGTGACAGGAGCGAATTGATAATCGTATCTTCAATTTATGTTCTTAAAGCTGGCGCGTGTTCGGAAACGGTAGGCTTGTCAAAGGGCGATCAAAAGGAGGACGAGCACGATCATTTGGAGGAGTCAGTCGCTTCAGTTAGTTTAGAGATGGGTTGCTGCGGTTGTGCGGACGAGCCTTCGTCCAAAGTGGAGCCTTCGCCCAAAGTGGAGCCTTCGTCCGAAATGGAACCTACGGACTCCACGGTAAACGTTTTCCCTATATGCTAGTTAAAAAAGGATCCGCATATTTATGAATGTAGCGTGCCTAAAAATAATAACATTCATAAAGTGTTTATGTTTCTCAAACACGCAACTCAAACTTATTCTTACATGGAAAGAAGAACGTTTTACTGGAGTAAAAATCTGTGTCTAACTAAAAAATTAGGTAGATATAGATCCGAAAAAATTTTGTTGGATTATCTAATTATCAATAATTATCATAGGAAATTCAAGTTTTACGAGCAATGCTGCGAAAACTTTTGACATTCTAGCAACCAGTTTGAGCGTCTTACATAATTATTTTGATGATTCAACAAAATTATTTTCAGATTTGTCTAGTTAAATTTTTAGATGTTTCAGCAAAATCATCCTTTCAACGATTTTGCTGGAAATATCATTTGTTTTATTCATTAAATTAATCAACCTAATTTTTTTCTGTAATAAATGTAATTGGTTTGCAGCTGTATCTTCATAGAAAGCACGGTTTTGCTGGAGTATTTATAAATTCAACTAAATATATATACAAATTTGAAAATAATTCTATAGGTCCATTAAAATAATTATATAGGAAGTTCAAACTGATGAGTATGTTGCAAAAACTTTTGACATTCTAACAATCAACTTGAGTAATATTTTTTTAGGCTTCCACGTGCGCTTTTTATATAAAGATTATGCGTTTCGCGGATTTTCTCCGTGTTCAGATCCATTCTTGAAATGTCAACGTTTCGTTGGAACGGCTCGGAGGAACAGCTCAATATCAGGCTGCTCCTAGCCCTGATGAAATGGACTGCAAGCTTCACGAAACGTTAGCATTCCAAGAATGGATCTGGACACGGAGAAAATCCGCGAAACGCATAATCTTTAAAACAACTTGAGTATCTTACATTATTTTGATGATCTAACAAAATTTTTAGATCTGTCAATTTTTAGATAACTTCAGCAAAACTGTTTTTTCCGTATTGACTAGTACGCTTTTATTTCTTCAAAGATATATTTATTATTATTATTTCTTCTATTTGATTTTAAATTTTTCATTTGTAAGCAGACTAAAATCTTTTCAAAATCGACTGTTTATTTATTTGGACAGCTTTGACATTGTATATAATTCTTCCTTTCTAGACACCTGATAGTCCAAAGTCGCCATCAAATTTTTCAGAACAGGTATTCGTGAAGAACCGATCATGCACCGATTTTTTTGCTATAATCATCCTACTCGTGCTGGCGGGTGGTTTTGTAAGTAATATTATTTTTTTATCCGCGTCATAACGCTAATATGTTCTCTAAATGTAATTCGCGCGTGCAGATCTTCATGATGACGAATGTGGTGAAGAAGGGTGACATTTTCCGCATGGTAAATGGATACGATGATTGCGGAAATGTTTGTGGTCGTGTTACCTCGCACGAAAATGATCCGAAATTCAAGTGTAAGGGTGCAGATTACACCAACAAACCGTAAGTGCCTTGAAGTATTTGTATTAAATCAAATTTCCTTGCGATTCGGTCGTACAGTTCATATAACAGAGATTATGTAAACATTTTATAATTTTTCTGAAATATATATATATAAATTACATAAATTAAAGAAATTATTATTAAATTAAATAGTCAAAGACTGTATTGTAACAGGACCTATACGAAAAAAATTAATGCAGCCTAGGATCAATAAAAAGGCTAAAACAAAATACAATAAAATAATATCCAACTCTTGATTTGATATTGATTGTTTGTGCTACTTTATATACTAAAAGATCTTGAAAATTGATCATATTGATCATTGTTTTCGTTGATAATTTATATTCTGTGTCCATTAGATATCTCGAGATTGATTTGGAAGTGACTGGAGTGAAAAAACGTACATGCATGGAGAGCTGTGTACAGGACGAGACCAAGTTAGTAAAATTGAGTCTCGTTAGTGTTTTGCGTTTTTGTTTGTGTTTTTTGCGTTAATCTAAATGACTGCTGGAGTCGCAATCGCAGAAAGTTTCATGCAGTAAATATAAACTTGATTTTTTTCCCGATTGTTTTTTCTAACATCAATTTCTGTTTCTCTGTCTCATAGAATATTATTCCTGAATCGCTGTATGAATAAGAAAGCGACAGAAACTATCAGCTCCATAATAAGGACCCTTCGGTTAGAAAGTATTTACAATGTAAGTGATCTTATTTGTATATTTGTAGTGATCTTCTTGAGTATATTTTCTGAGATTATCCCTTGTGTAAAAATTGCTAGCCTGTTGTTTTGTTAGAATCTGATTTTGAATTTAAAAAAACATGCATTATTATATTATTTTCTATTGGTGTCTTTTATTTTGTGTATATGTTTCAGTTTAAATCAATAATAAATAAATCTAACATATGTTATTTTATAACTGAGTAACGAAAGTTTCAACGGTCTGGGCTGGATTTTAGTACTTAAATAATATTTTCAGTATGAATTTATGGTATATACATATCCAGTTCTATAAATTGAACGCCGAAATTATTTTCTTGAAACGCAATCATAAGCCAAACACCTAAAATGTTTTATTAGCATCAATATTATTAAATTTCTTTTCAATTTAATTTATGATATTACTGTATTACTATATTTCAGTTCGACTTATAATTGCATTCACATTTCAAGAGTGAAAATAATTTCAATGCGCAATTTATGCAACTGCTGGATGTGTATATACATTCATATTTAGTGCTTAAATAATATTTAGGCACTAAGATCTAGCTTAGACCGTTGAGACTTTTACTCAGTTATATATTTACATTTGCGGTCTTAAGACACTTTGTTTAAATAGATCTTATTCCGAGATAATTTCCGAGAATTTCATGTCATCTTGTTCCTTGTTCTTATAGCGGAAAAAATCTAATTTTTTTTCAACATTCGAAATAGTAAGAGAAAATATATCCATTCTAAAACGAAAAATTATGTGTCATACATTAAACTGGGCAATCATTTATTTTTAAAATAACTCGCGGAAATAATCTATCTTAATTTGAACAATTTATGATGATTTAATAATATATTACATTTTCAATTAAGCTTCAAATTAAATTTCTTTCTTAGAATTTATTAATTTTTATATATATAGCGTTTCGTCATGACGTGTCCATTAAAATTTGAGATAAATACATCAATTCATTTTAAGATATTCAAACACAATTTGCAAGCAATATATGTCGTGTGCAATATCTTCTCAATTAGTTTAAATAAGTAATTAATTGATAAAACATTATTATTTCAGGACGCAGTTACTGATCTGGGAATCGCATGGCGTGAATTGATTTACCTTTTGCTTATAGCTTTAGGTAGGTGTTCAGAAATAAATATCTATTATATATATTATTTAAATATTATACCATTTAAAACTTTTAATTTCTTGCTGTGTGTATAAATATAATTTCTCCCCCTCATTATTTATCTGTTTATCTATGCATATAAAATCTCAAGCATTTATTAAATTTGATGATATGCCCAATTTGCAGAATGTAATTGGAATTTGAAAAAATAGTATTTTTTTTTTATGTTAACAGAATAATCTTTATTTCATCTACAATTGATTCTTGCATATTAAATTTCAGTTTTAAATTCTTATATCACCTCTCTCTCTTCTCCCTCCCTCCCTCTCACCCCTTCTTTCTCTCTCTCCGTGACACAAAACAGGAGCTTTACGTGATTGATTGCGACTGATGATTTTTCAGCACTTTCTCTCGGTATCCTGGTAGCCTTCCGCTATATGGTACAATATGTCATTTATGTTGTATTGATCGGCGCAATTTTGGCTTGCATCGGTGGCACAACATATCTCTGGTAAAAATTCTCTCAATTTTTAATAATCAAAACGATGCAGCAAAAGTCACATCTTAAATTGTTCAATCTAAAAATTTCTATATGAGAATAGAATATCTATATAGAAAGAACAATTTTGCTGAAGTATTTAAAATTTTAGATAGATATAAATTGAAAAATAATTTTGTTCGAAAACAACTATATAAAATTCTCAAGCATGAGCGTTCTGCACGATTGTTTTCATGTTTCAACAAAATTATTTCTAGATTGATATCTAGCTACATTTTTAAATAATTCAGTCAAACCGTTCTTGCCGTGTATTTATTATTTAAATTTAGTAAAATAAGTTTAATCTTTTATGCAAAGGCTAGCGTGGTACCGTGAAAAAAAGAGCGTGGAAAGAGGCGAAATCTATCCGGAGGATTCCAGCGAGGAACCCTACTTTATCTACGCTATTATCATGTCTGTTGTTTCTGTAAGAAAAATCGTTATGTCCAATGCTATGTTCACACAAATTTTGCGGATATATAAATATTAACGTATAATAAATATATTCCGCAGGTAATTGTTCTTCTAGTGATTCTAGTGATGAGGAAAAGAATCGAGCTGGTCATGCAGATTTTCCGAGAAGCGGGTAAAGCTGTGTATTCGATGCCAGCGCTGCTGTTTCAGCCGATTTACGTGAGCATATCTCGTTCCAGTTATACAAGTCCGGTTCATTTCATATTGAATGATCTCGCGAATGTGGAAATTTTTTTACTTTCAGACCTATCTGCTGATCGGGTCTACGGTAATAGCATGGGTCTACTGTATGTTATGGATAGAGAGCGCCGGTGACATTTACTTGAATAGAAAAAATCACATTCATTTCAAGAAAGATGCGTTGCTTATTGTACGTGAGCATATTTTTTTATCAACTGTGATAAATATTATATTTCATAGAATAAATATATATTCATATTTTCAGTTATCAAGTGAGATCTGTTATCTAATAATGTTTTTGTGAATTTTATACATTTTATCTCAAGGATATATTAAATTAATAAAATAAAAAATTAAAAAGTTCTAAATTTTTTTATTGTATTTGAAAATGATACAAAATGTTTGACGGCGATTTGAAGTTAGATCAAAAATTATTTTCTTATTTAAATAAGAAGTTGACATACTTATAAAAAAAAATTAATTAAGATAAAATGAGAAAATTTTTATTTAAACTACAAAATTGTAATGTTAAATAAATCAATATAATCATAAAATTCGAGTACTGAAAATATTAATATTATTTTTTATTCTGTATTATATACGTATTAATTGTTATTTAATTAATTTATTAAACTATATTTTATGCTTATCTTTATAATAAATGGAATTAATTAAAGGCAACAAGATGGTACAATCTATTTTTATTCTTCGTGGCGTGTGAATTCTATTTGGGTTGCCAGCATATGGTTGTTGCTTGCGCTGTTGCCCGATGGTTCTTTACAAGGTGAGATCTTTATTAGATATACGAAGTTAAATAGAAAAAATAGCGCAGTGAAAAGTTAATTAGTAAAAGTTTAATCTGTATGTAATCAGTTAATGAAATTATAGCTATGTATAGAAAAATAAAATGAATGTTTTTTTTTATATGCTCGAAAATACTATTTATCAGCATACATATCTAGAAAATTTTCAAGAAGCATTATTAGATTTTTAATGATCTTCTGTTTATACAGAGTGTTTGATGTTAGAAGGAACATCGCTTATAAGCAATAATATAAGGTAAAGCGGACTAAACTGACAATACGTACTTATTTAAATATTTTCAAAAATTAACCCTAATAGCACAGATCTCCAATGAACGTTCTAAAGAACACTTAGAGGATATCCCTATATTCTAAGAACGTTCGCTAGAAAGTCCCTCGAAGTGTGCTATTAGGAAAGTTTTATTAATTATTGGAAATTATAAAATGATACAGGATTTTTCGATTAATTGTCAATTTAGTCCGCTTTATATCTATTAATAAGCGATGTTCCACCTAATGTTAAGCACCTTGTATATACTTATATGTTTCAGTGATTTCAAAATATGTTATGCTTTTTCATAGTATTGTATGAATTTTATAGAAAATGCATTGTATTTTAATAGGGATAAAAGACGTCTCTCTTTACCAGTGGCAAAAGGTTTCGGATATCTTATAAGATATCACTTGGGTACCGTAGCTTTCGGAGCTTTAATAATAGGTATTGTTAGAGTTATCAGAGCCATGATAGCTTTTGTCCAAAAGTCTCTGAAACGGTATGACAACTCGTGCGTGAAAGGAATTCTATGGTGTTGTCAATGTTGTCTTTGGTGTTTCGAGTGCGCTTTAAAATTTCTCTCCAGAAATGCTTACATCGAAACAGGTAATTGCGACATTTTTATGATGATATAAATATTGATTTGAATTTTTCATTGATCCTTGACATTTTTCTATTTTCTTAATATATATAACAATTAAAAACAAAAATTAAAAATCTTTTTTTATTGATTAATGTAAAAAACGATGTTTTTTCAGCCATATACGGATGCAACTTTTGCACCGCTGGAAGAAAGGCGTTTCAAGCCTTGTCAAGCAACATTTTACGAGTAGCGGCAATTAACAGCGTTGGCGATTTCGTCCTTTTTTTGGGTAAAGTCCTCGTTGTCACTCTTACGATCGTTTCGGGGATATATTTGATGCAGGTACAGGTAAATTAATTACTATACTTATTTTTATATTTCAAGGGCTTTACTAACTTTAATTTTATCCCTTTGCAGAAAAAGGAGGGACTTAATCATCCTTGGATACCAATCACTCTCGCGGGAATATTCGCATTCGTGGTTTCGCATTGTTTCATATCAATCTATGAAGTAAGTGATATAAAAAGCTAAAAAAAAATGTCAATGTTAAATAAATAATATAATCTTCATAGAAATGTTAATTTTTTGCAGATGATTATTGACACAATATTTATATGCTTTTGCGAGGATTGCGAGAAGAATGACGGCATCAACCGGCCTTATTTTATGAGCCGTGGTTTGATGGTTTGTATTAGCTATAACAAAGCTTTATTATTTCTTAATCGTTACGAAATCACTTATATATAGACAAAAATCTTCTCTTCAGGAATTCGTAGAGAACAGCAAAAAAGCTTTAAGGCATTTGGAACAACAAGGTGCTGCAGCTACATAATAAGCGTTAAGAATAGATTTTTTTTAAATATATCATAGGTTTAAAAATTCGATGTTCGGCCAGTGCAACAAGCGATAAACAATGTATGTTGGAGTTTTTCATACAATGTTAACGGATGATATTGTAATTATTTAGTTCGTGAGTTAAGTTTGGACAAGTCTGTTGTAATATATAGATCTTTGAGAAATAATTGCAAGATTACAGAAATAGCTGCCTTTCGTATACGCATAAATTGTCTTCTTTTAGCATACAACACAGTTATTGAAGTTCTATACCAAGCGTGATGCACACAATCGGTTGTTTCGATTAATGGACTGACTACGTTATGAGGAATGTTACGAATCATTCTATTTTCGAAGTTCCTATTTCTAAAAATATTTTTATATAACAAGATAGGTTTTTTCTACATAAACTTAGACGCGACGTTCGCACAATTGCGAATACGCCAATTTGGCAGCCTGAACTTAGACATGTACTCTTTGTACTATGATTAGCGAACAAGTTAATTTATAAGACCTACTCTGCGTTTTAGAATCTACAGCGTAAGTTTATATATTGTTATATTGTTACATATGTACTTGTTCTTTATATGTGATGTAAATATTTCTTTCTTTTTTATGAAGAAGTGCCTGTAATTGATAATTTTTCATTTTGATACAAATGCCATGTAAGATATAAATATACAGCTTTGGACATATGAATTATTTCAAAAGAGAAATATAAGATTAATATTCTATTGTATATTATGAATGCAAACAAAACTCTCAAATAAAAAAGTTTGACATAATTTAATTACTGACGTAATCACTTATTTCTATCTTTTTCATAAAAAATAGAATGTCGGGAAAGATAATACTGAAAAAAAGGACATGGGTGAAATACGAAGATCTAATGGGACAAGTGTTAACTTTTAATTCCAGTTTATTTTGTCTGGGCACACAGTGCATGAACGCTCATGCTTGGCGGTTTACAGATCTCATGTTATGCCGGTTTAGCAAAGTGATGTGTCGTTAACACTCTCTGAGCTGGCAGTAAATCGGGGTGACAAGTCGGACACTACGAGGGATGACGGGAGGGACTTTGGTCTGTTCAGGCCGGATAGACGTTTAGAACGAGTGAAAAGAGTAGACCGTTTAGAAAATTCTCTCATATTTACGGTGCAGCGCGTTCGAAACAGCAGAATTACTCGCTAAAACGGGGAGGATGAGAGCGACTAACACGAGCAGCGCAACAGCAAGAAGCCGGCAAGTTCGCAACAGAATCACATGCATTCAATGTGATACGTCAGTTTGCACTTAAGTTTCGCGACATACATATACATATCGCATCTCAGGAAATCCAGTTCAATGGATCATCAGCGTTCCGTATTATAGCACGAAAATATCTCATTCTCTCTCTTTCTCTTACTTATCGATAGCTCTCCTAGGAGAAGTCGGTTTTCTCAGGATATAGGAAAATGCCAAAGATATGTACATGGAAGAGACATTTTGCTCTATTTGCAACTCCAGAATATACATTGTTGTTCGAATTACGCGAAAGACGCCTTCAATTTATTACACAAATATTATAGGACCGAGACAAGTCGTACGTGACTTAGTGGTGCCTACGAGGAAATTCTTTTTGAGCTTCACGCTACATAGACAATTTCTCTCGTTTGTCGATTACAGCAACAATCTTCATCCAATTATTCGTAGCTGAGAAGACTTGTATCCTAAAGTCCTATCGTTCCCGAGATATTATTCTCATATACCGAAGTAACGTTAATGCCCATGTGTACACCGCGATTATTAGCTCCGAGTTTCGAAAGTAGCTCCCGAATTGCTGAATACGCTACAATATAGGGTGAAAAAGATAAAATCGAATTGGATCCTTAAAATCAACGATTACACCGACACAAGGTACTTGGCTTTGTACGACTTTGTATTGCACTTTGTAGCTAGCGCAAACTTAGGTCTGTGAATCTTAATTATTATTTTTGGTCTCGTTTAGGTCATCGTCATCGTACGACGCGCAGGTAGCTGATAATCGAGATATCGAAGTTATTGCAAAATTTTCAGTCTTTATCAAAAAAGTTACCATTTGACATAATTGCAAACACAGTTGCGAACTTAAAAACGAAAACGGGATAATAAAGGGATTTAACGAGCAGCGCGAAACGCGATAGTTGCCTTATAATATTAACATCATTCTACAATCATGTATTATTTTCGAACTTATATTTTCTTATATCTTATATCGCTTTCAAATACATATCGTATGTGATATACAAGGGTACGGAAAGTTCTGAGTCTGACACAGAAATGACGCCACAAATATCAAACTGTTATAATTTTAGACAAATTTGATCCTGTACAAAGCCTACTGTTAAAATTTCAGACAGATACGTTCATTAGATGCGTTCAGTTTCTTTTGTTTTGATCGTATAAAGCCATCAATTTTTTGTTCCATTATGATAATGCACCCGTTCACATTTCTTCAATTTTAATCATAAAATTGCATGAATTACACTTTAAATTGATTACGTAAGCATCGCATTCATCAGCCTCCAATGATTTTTTTTCTTTTTCCAAATATAAAGAAATGGCTCGCAGGAAAAAGATTTGGCTGATAATATTAAAGTAAGCGATAAAACTAATGCTTACTTCGAAGATTAGAGAAATCGTAAACGGTACAAAAAATTAGAATTATCATTGAAATAAATGTATTAAATTGGAAGGAGACTATGTTGAAAAATAAAAAACAATTTTGTCAAAAATATGTTTTCTTTATCAGGCCGAAAACTTTCCGAATTATCCTTGTACATATAACGAAATGGGATGCATGAACTCGTGAAATGAATTATTTCGGTAACTATCGAGCGTCCAGCACTCGATTGTCGAAATTCGTAAATTGACATAGAAATACAATAAAAGGATAGAAATGATCGGATGATATTATAAAGAAATGTTTATATCGTGACGAGAAGAAAAAAATGAAATCTAATGCGTTCCCGCTACATTAATGAGACATATACTTCTTATTTTACGATTGTAGCACGCACTTTTAAGTAGCGGATAGCACTCACGATAATGACGATGATAGAGAAACGATGACGATGACAGTGTCCGTCCAGACGACCGTTAACATGTGGCGCAAACATCCGAGGAAACGAATGATCGAAGAACGTTGCGACGTGCTTAGCCGGCAAGCACCGGTCAACAGATCTTGCACCTACTGTCCGCTGCCAATTATTTAGATCTACAAGAATGGATTGACAGATGACGATTATCGCCTTACCCTTAAGCTTCTAATATCTGCGCGTAGTACTTACATACTCGGTGGGCTTTACGTTGCGCACTGCTTGCTCAAGAACACTTCTACACTCGCACCGGGTTTAACGTATACAAATACCGCGGAGTGAGTTTTTCTCCCTTAATCGTTTCTTTCCTTTCACTTAGACGCAATTCAGGCTACCGTTGTAGAACACTCGCATTTCTGTCCGATGTTAATTTATCTTTCAATATATATGTATATATGTATATAAATATAGTCATTATAGCCATCTCGAGACTCTGTTCATCTTAATAAGTTAGGAAGCTTTGTAAAGGCAATGATGTATCATTTAGAGGAAAAGAGAAAGACGAAGGGATCGCATTGAAGAAAAAGGAAAAATTGAAAGAAAGAAAAATGGGAGGAGGAAGACACTTTTCGCACTGCATGACTCCGCGTCGATTGACCGCAAATTTCAATCATGGAATTACTTTACCGTTTGCGATGCATTATGCATTACATCGTGCTAGGTAAAGCTTCTGCATTGTAAATATTTAGAGAGAATAGATGACGAAAGCAGTGATAATGATGATAATGACAATAGCATGAAGATGATCTCTCGCAATAATAATTATAGGGACTGTAATAGTAGCGGTAATAGTAGTAATAGTAGCAGTAGTAGAGTAATGGTAGTAATAATATATATAGTAATAATAATATTATTAATATAATAATATAATAATCATCATCATAAACTCTGCAATATTTAATACATTGTTTGTTCACATGGACTAGATACAGCTCCCTTAGAACGATCGACAAATCGATACGCTCTATCTTTTTTTTCTCTTATTGTTGTCTTGATCCCTGTGTTCTATAGACCAGCGGGGATATGATGTGATCAGTCAAGTACGTTGATGGCAGACCAGAGTCACGTAATCTTTAATATTGTGGTTAGCAATTACCACTCACGCAAATATAATAGTTGCGCGTCCTTAACTTAACGTAACTTCGGCATCAGCGAGAAACAGATCATGCCTTTCTGGAAATATCAATTATCAATATTTTTTGCACTCCGAATTGCTTACGAAATGATTCCTTGAGAGATCTGACTCGGTTCTGTACTTAGAAGAATTAATAACTATTGGTCTCTTTAAGGTGTATCAGAGATACAGCATCTATGCTGTTTTAGATTGCAGTTTTTTAAGAAAAAAAGAAAAATATATAATCTCAGATCTTTTAAACCTATAAAAATATTTCTGTATCGACAAAAATAACTCGCCAAAAATTAAAGTAGTATCGAAAAGAAATTGTCGCGAAAGAAATCCCGCGCGCATATGCCATCTAGCTACGCCACTGGCACCAGAGAACGGACTTGGTCTTTACCTACCCGCGTTCATACGTCTCTCGTCTTGAATATCTAAGAGAGTTCTCTTTCAAGCGGAAGCGATTCATCAACAAAGGCTACAACACTTGGAAGCGTCTCCGAGGTGAATGTGGCACACGTTAGGCATGCCGGTGCAGCCCTTACCGCCGATGTTCTCCTGCACTAGATGCGCGAGGCCTAAATTCTGATTTATATCGCCATCGCTACCGCGATGCTGCTTTGTCGCGGCATCGCACCACTGACGACGTTCCCGCCACTTGTCCTCGACTAGCAGCACCGATTTAGGCGACGGCGGACTAACACGATCGCGAGTGATGCTACCGCACGAGCGAGCCTTGTAGAGGCGTCCCTTGCCAAAGATACCTGGCAGCGGTACGCAGAGCTTCTTGTGCACGGCGAAGTAACGACTCAACAACCGAATCTTCCTGTTCTTACACTCGTTCCTCTTACACTCGTTGATCGAGCCGTTACCACGATTCTCCTTGTCGTTACAGGGCGCTTGACTCGCGCACTTGTGATCGCGACGTTCATCGCTGACGCTCTGACAATCGTCCGATTGCCGTTGACAGCTATTACTTTTTCCATCGGGACTGCGAGCGGATCTTGAGCCTTGCGATATCAAGGATTTCCCGGCGCTGAGTGACCAGCTCTGCAATAATTTCGCTCCGAGACCTTTTGCCTTTTGTACCGTACTGGTTGCTATTTGAGACATAGGTGGAATAACATTGTGCTGAGAAGCCGTGCTATTCTGCGATACCGACGACGCTGACGATGAGGAGACGTTCTGCGTGCCAATTGCAGTTGAATTGCGCGACACATGACAATGATTGTGACAAGATGAGGGTGCCTCGGCCTCCTGAACCTCGGTGATACGATTCAACGACTGGCTCTCACGCAATCGCGTCTCGCCGGCTCTTCTCCTACCAGCGCGATGTCTCCTGCCAAACATTACCTGATTCTCGGTGCATCGATGCCGTCCTCCTCCATTCGTTGTGCTCGTGTTTGTCGTGTTAGTGCCACTGCCACTTTCGTTTCGATTGCTCTCGGTTGTCGTCGGTGTATCCGTCGTCGTGTGTTCGCCATTGCTAACTCCGCTCCCTCCTCCACCAACTCCACCACGCCCACCACCGCTTCCTCCTGGATCCTGCGAATCGCTCGAGTCGTCGTGACTATCGCGTCTCGGAGGTAAAGGTTTGCCCGTGGATGCACCGAGTTTGTGCGCCCTCTTTTTTCTACTCTCGCTGTCGTCGTCGCTGGCGTCCGAACTCGAACAGGAGGTCGTGCGCGTCTTGTGGAACTTGCTTCTCCGTTGCTCATATGTTGTTCGCCTAACAACGCGACATTTAGTTGCCGAATCCCCGCATTCCCTGGAGTTCACCGATGCTTGCGTGCCATCCCCGTCCTCCAGAATTTCATTGAGCGTGGGTTGCTTCGCAGAAGCACCGCTGGGTGACGGCATCGTCTTGTATTTAGGTGTTAACGTCACTTGATTGTCACTAATCGGATGAAGAGGTATCGAAACGGTCGACGATTCATGTAATGTTTTAGTAGTAGTCGTCGTTGTTATCGTTGTAGATACATCGGACGGTTTTGAGGGAATCATTGATGAGGACTCTGTAAGCGGCACACTAAACCGATGGTGTTGAGAACCCATTCTCCACTTATTCGCCGGTATCGGTCCGGTCGATTTTAGACACTCCGTCACCGATTTAGGTTTAGTTTCTGTAGTAGTGGCTTTTCTAGCTGCCCATCCGGATGATGGAGAGTTCGCGCCGCTCAATTGATTCTTCAGATTTTCCTCGCACGTCATGGTAATCCGTGGAGTTATGGGCAGTTTCTCCAAGAGTACATTGCCCATTTGGACTTTGTCTGCTCCTCTTAGATGCATCGGCGGCGACGTCTTATCCTTTTCGTTTTTCGAAATCTGCTTCAGTCTTTCTCCCCTATGCGATGATTCAGCAACTACGATATCCTCTTTTTGATGTGGATGCCGTTGACTCAACACGGGCTTCGTGCTGGTGTGCTTCTCCGGAAGCTGCGATAATCGCTCCTGTAGAATATGCGAGAGTTTTCCCTCGGAACGAGAACCACGACGATTAAGGGAATTTAGCGCCGAATTACTGCCATGTTCATCTCGGCCAGAGCATGAGGACACATCGTCTTCATCTTCTTCTTCTTGAACAATACTGCACTTGCGCGAACGCACATTCTATAATCAGAACAGTCATTTTTGTTTCCTCTATGCGGAAAATATTGACATGTAAATACTAATACATGACTGGATGTAACATTAACATTTTATACAACATATAAAATGTTTGCCGAGACATCCGATAGTCGATATCTTTCTAGATGAACATGTAGTACGTACCTGCGGTACGTCACCAGGTGTCCGTGGCACGCTTAATAGCGACTGGTTCATAGTACCCAGAGAATTCTCATCTGTGCGCAGATTTGTTGTCAGATCATCTTGCCGGCTGTATAAAATTAACACGCATTGGTATTAGTGATTTCATTAAAGACGGTATGCAGCATAAATATTTAGATTTAACATATCTTATAGGTGAATCATACATAGCAGCAATACTAATGGGTGATTCAGTATGTAAAACATACCTTGAGGAAACATCTAGAGCTTCTGGACGACTTTTCTGCATCTGTTCTTGTCGATGAGCGCGCAATTTCCTCTCAGCTAGCAAAAAATACGTCGCGGTGATGTGGTTGTATTCGTTCTTGTCGAGCGCGCTGTAAAAAGATTCACAATGAGAATGGCCAACAAAACGTAGCGCCGAAGACGCATGCTTAAAATATACTAACACCCAAAAAGGCACGATCAAAATGGTCAAATCTCTTCCTAATGTCTACTCACTCCAATATCTCTTCCTTGGTGGCGATGTTACCGTTAACCATTTTGGTAATTATATGATTGTGATGATCATCGGAGACTTGTTGACGTGACACGAGCGGTAGCGTCTCCATCGTGTCCAAGTCGGAACCGATCGCTAACCATGGATCCGCAGCTATCTCCTCGAGGGACGCTCGGCCTTCGGGTTCTCGCACGAGCATTCTCGCGATCAGCCGCTTGCAACCATCGGACACGTGCGACGGAATTGAATACTTGCAGTCCATAATCATCGTTAACGTCTCACTGTCGTTCGCTTCTTGAAACGGCGCTTGACCGCATACTAACATGTATAGTATTACACCTAACGACCAAACATCTGCAACAAATTGAAATACAAACGTAGTCTATTAAAGCGAATATAATTTCGCTCTCTCGCTCTGTGTTATATTTTAAATAAGATTTTTTTTCTTTCAAATTTAGAGTCCAATGCTTCTTAAGTAAAACTTTTGACGAAAGATATAACTTTAATACTAATTTGAGTCATATTTATCCTTAATTGCATTAATTAACAAGCTTACCTACTGCGGGGGCATCATAACTATCGCCTAGAAGTATCTCTGGAGCGGAGTACGCTAATGAGCCGCACGAAGTCTCGAGCTTCTGACCAGGACAAAATCTATTGCTAAACCCAAAATCCGTAAGCTTCACCGTACCCAGCTTTTCGAAGAACACGACATTCTCGGGTTTCAAATCTCTGTGCACTACGTGTAAACGGTGACAGTAAGATATGGCTCTAACTATCTGTCGAAAGTAAGTCCTGGCCACCTAAGGCGAAAATTCAAATATTATGATACGCGCGACTGCAAGTGAAATATTCAATAGTTTTAAGAATTTAGTCAACACATTATATTTAGTAAAAAATGACAGTAAGAATTTCTATAAAATTAAATATATTTTTTATTATATTAATTTTCTGAATTTATAACACAAGAGAAATTTTGTTGAAAAGTTTGAAGATAATTTTCTGTACAATTTATATAAATTCTTTATATACGATTTATGATAAATTTGTACTCAATGAACAATTTATACTCAAGAAAATTCACATTCAATAGCCTTTATATGAGAACTAAACTTGTATCGTATATCCATGCGGTAATTGTAAGCCGATGGCATAATAAAACAACAATGGCCATGCAACAATACCTCTTCGCTGAGACCGCTGTCGTGGCGCATGATGTAATCGTAGAGGTCCCCGCCATCGCCGAGCTCTAGAATTAGGTATAGCTTGGTCTGCGTGTCTATCACCTCATATAACCGCACCACATTGGGATGCTGTACCAGCTTCATGCATCGCACCTGCAACACAGACGAACACGATGTACAGGCAGACAAAATTCATTTCGCTCGAGCGAATTTAAATTCAGGAATCAACGATTCTGTCTGTTATCCATTTGCATCATTATCTCGTCGATCTTATTGAGGTCCATCGCTATGAGATTTATCGTGCAACTACGCGAAACGATTCGATCACCGGTTACTATCGAACCAGCTATCAAAATGACATTACGCGAATCAGGATGTCATCAATGACTCTATTATTTCCATTAGGACATGAAACGGACGGAAGATAATGCTGACGCGATTGCATAGTCACGAACAAGTTAGAAACAAATAATGGTTAGAATGTCGTTAGAGTTCTATCTGTCACACTTAAATATAAATTCCAATTCGGAACAAATTTGAAACAGTTTAGCTTTGTATCAGAAGGATATCAGAAAGCAAAGAAAAAAGGTACAAAAAGGCAATTTAAAATCAGATTTTTATAGGCTTTTCATACATTCCGATCTTCTAATGTTTATTTAAATCACTTTAAGAGTGCGTTCCACTTGACGCTCACAATATTCGCGAGTATTATTTGTCCTCGTTTAACAGTTGATAACAAGAATGAAATGACTTCATGCATTGCGAGCGTCAAGTGGAACATACTCATAATAAAAGAACATTTCCTTCGCATGTTTCCTTTAAAAATGGCAAAAGATCAAACTGGATGACTCGTCGAACTATAGTTTGCGTTTTTCTCACCTCCTGGAAGAGATGAGCCCTCGAAACCTCATCGAGCTTACTCTTGTCGATCACCTTCACTGCCACCTTCTCACCGGTGAAAACGTGTCGTGCCAGCTTTACCACGGCGAAGTGACCGCGGCCGAGAGTCTCCTCCAGATCGTAAAGACCGGCGATCTTGCCATCGTAATTGCTGTATCCCACTCTTCGATTCATCTCGTGCCGCTGCAATGCAATGTTCTTTACATATGCAGCAAATGATAAAGATGAAAAAGACATTTTACCCATCTAAAATAACTATTAAATCTGATTTGCATACAGTGAGAGAAAAATGTAATTAAATTTTAATGGGTATTTGTTTGAATAGTTGTCAGTTGAATATTTATTAAATTTAACATATATTTATTTGATACAAGAGCTATTAATTTAATTTAACTATTATATTTTTTTACTTAGCAAATAATTATTTTCCATAAAAGCAGTTATATTCATTAAAATTTAGTTACATTTTTCTCTCATTATATAAAACCCACGAATCGTAAGAAGATGGGTTTCAATCTTTTATGAAAGTGATTTAGTTCCACTTCACACTTGTGATTTTCACAAATTTGAGATCTCCTCGTAACATAAAATTACATACATTTTGAAACATTATTAAGCATCAAAATCCGTTTCAACGGAATGTAATTCTTTCTCTTGTTTATGTTATTCACTTATCGATTCATTTTACTTATAATTAAATTTAAAAGGTTACCACGTTTTACAAATAAGTAGATAAGTAGATTACTCCGTCAAAATTAATTTAACTAAACATTGAACTACGTTAACTAAATGAAATACATTAACTAGCTAGTACAGTTCTTAAATTTGTCATTGGTTTTTAAATAGAGTGTCCTGTATATTTCTATATGATAACATTGAATTGAGTTTGAAATATCGAATTCTGATCGATCGTTTAGAAATGTTGACCGACAGTCGCGTAAGTACGACGGTCCATTCCGAGAAAGAGGTCACTATTATTTTTAGCGCTTAGTAGGAGCAATAATTAATCGCTTCGCCATCCAAGGATGGGCGATCGGTAGCAGTAAAAAAAAAAAAGGTACACTCCGTAGAATGACAGGAGATATTATCGCTTTGGAAAAATACATAGAGAGAAGCTAATGGACCGAACACGATGCACATGCTAAATATAGTTATCCGATTCAAACTTTTACTCGCAAGTGAACGAAGTAGTTAAGTCCAGAATGTATACAGAGTGCATAGAAATCGTGCATAATCCTCGATGAATTGATTTTTCCTCGATGATATCGGATTAGAAACTCGAGTAACTGGAGCGCGAGAATCTGTTGTCCATCGATCGTATCGAGGCGCGACTCGGACAGGATCGGTTATCGCTCACTTTCCAAAAGATCGATGACCTTAAAAAAAAAAAAAAAATATGATAAACATGAGATCTCGCTTTATTCGTTTGTTCCGCTTTGTTAGTCTAAACGCGAAGATAACGCTAATGCGACCACGAAGCGAACAGTACGCGATCAAATTTAGCGCTAGATGGGAATAGGAGCCAATGTTGTGCTGCCGAGGGAACGCATTGTCTTTGGCGGAACGTAATTGCGAAACACGTCATGATGTACCGTGACGCGCCGAGGCTATACGATTTGTCAGCACAGTATCTCGTATTCCGCCCTCTCTCTTCTGCTTCTATTCTTATTAAATACGTGTACGCCATACTTTCTGATTCTCTGTCTATATTCATAAATATTTACTTTTCTTTTATGTTATATTATTGCCTTATGTGTATCGTTGTCTTTTTTTCAAACTTGAAGAGATCCTTCTTGGGATAAATATAAATTAATAATATTCTCTCTCTCTCTCTCTCTCTCTCGTTCTCTCTATATAAAAGCGCACAAAAATACAATACGACGGCGAGTCGCGAAAATCTCGATCCACGACTACGACGCCCGTGTCCTTTCCTTTGGGATCCACAAAGAAGTTTCTCGTCTTCGTTGCCTTGCGGAACGCGGCCACTCGCAGCGGCCCGTCGGGAGCTGCGAATCATTTCCTCGCCGTGCGTGCTCCGGATACTCGTACCGAGGATTACGAAGAACGCAAAAATAAACCTTCTCGAGCGATGCGGAGAAGGTACCAATAAGGAGGTGAACCGCTTCGGCCAGCCTGCACGTCAAATTTTCTTCTCGGAAAACGGCATATCCGAAGATCCTCCAGCTCGACGAAAACAGATCGGATTAATACCTTAACGATCGAATCATCCGCTGCTTGATGTGCAATTTATAGCAAATGCTGACGTAAGACTGACATTCACTCGCCGAGGTTTACGGCTTTTATTTCGCGCAAACGCGTCCATTGCCTATGTCGCGATATAAATAAGACGAGAGTATTCTCTCCCATTCTCGCCGGTGTTATTATTATCGACAAGCGTTCCCTGCACCATCGTTTCATTGTTAAGATAATAAATTATCTTAGCTAACGTACCTGAATCCATTAAGGGAAAACGACGTTCGTCGTCACGTGCCGATTTATTGCCAGATATCGAAAAATTCACCTATCAGGTATTAACAAATGTTTGTCGTACGATGAGATAATTTCATGATCGATCGGCGTACCCTTCGGAAACGGATTCAATTAAAATAAATCACGGCTCGGTCCGTCATATCGATGCGTTTAATTCTTTTTGCCGTGGTTTTGGAACATGGGAAATTAATCGCTGTTACGCAATCATAATTGATGTCATTTACGACATCATGAAGTAATGCAATTACCGCGACATCGCGACCAATAAAAATTCCACGAGCTTCGTCTGGATTTGTGCGAAGTGTAATTAACAAGCGTAATGCGATTAACAATTTGACTAACGTGAATACCCTAATTTTACGTCTATAAACTGTTATATGCTTGCACAAAATGACAGAAATAATAGAAAAATATCTTGTGGAAGGAAAACAAGAAAAATATTACGTTGTCAAATAACCCAACGCGAAACTCGAAATGTTACTAAAATGTGATATACGTATTCGTAATATAATATAATAGAAATAAAAACACGCTCCGTTTTTTATTTAATTCCATTTATCAATTCTATTTTTAATTTAATTTAAACGCAATTATATTACATAAATTCATACTGTGTGTGATATTATATTTCAATATTGTTACAATTACACGGCTTTTCTCTAATTGTATTTTTAGACATTCGTATTAAAAATCGTATAAATATTATAAATATTAAAATTATACATTTCACAATTATGCATTTTTCCTAGTATCTGTTCCTAGTATCTGTTAAAAAGATTTAACACCTTTGTATAATCAGTAACGTGGAACATCACTTCTAAATATCCAGGGCGTTCACTATCACGGTAATTTTCCACGTGCAAGGAAAGCGAGAATTGTCCGAATTCATCCGGATCCATCACATCGCGTCGCAGTGAATTGAACTTGACATTTAACCGATAACGACGCTCATCCATTGCTATCAAGATTTACCTGGACACGGGCATGTCTGTGATGTTGGCCTGACCTGCTTTTACTGCACGTGTCCGTAATAATGTGATGCACGAGCGTCAGTTACACGTAATAAGTTTACGACTCTTCGGGGCGAACACCTGAAACGCACTTCAACCGCGAAGCATCAATAGATGTCGGATGATCAACTACGTCGCAAATTTTTATTTCAAATTGAGTTTTCCTTAAAAAGTACGAAAGTTATCTCCTTAGTCCTTATCAGTTCGATTCAGAATGTGTTACATTCATTTATACAAACGTGTTAATATTTATACTCTATTCATACTTTAAATAAACTATATACATATGAAAGTTATATTTGTAGCGTTCTATTTTTGTCGAATAACAGGTTTACATAATTTATTAAAATTTGTTTTGTACAAGTACTTTAAGTATTCAAAATGATTTATGCAAAGCTTTATTGCGATTCAGAACTGAGTTACAAAGATTTAAAAGAAATAAATATTTTGTTCATTTACAAAACATCTAATCTTTGCATCATAATGTATTTACTTTAGATCATCTTGAATATTTAAAATATTTAAAAATTGTAATTGTAAAAATTTAAAAACATAAACATTTAAAAAATTCAGATTTTTGTCATTATTTTATAATACATTTCCATACATTTCTATTAAAGCACAAATTAAAAATAATATTACTTTTTATTAAAATAACTTTTAATCTATGTAGATGATTTAAAAGTAACATAATAACTTTTTTGATCATCGCTCAAAATTTATTGTGTTACTTTTAAACGCTTCAAAATAATCTGTAATTTTTTTCATTACTTTTTCATTAATTTGAAACTATTGTGAAATAAGTTCTTAAATAAACAAAAACATTGAGAAGATTAATAAATATTCCTCGCGCGATATCGCTTCTTTAATATTAAAGTTAATATTTAAATTAAGGTCGCTCGCTCTTCATAATTTTGTTGCATAATAACACGTTTATTACTTCGCGAAAATATGCAAAGGAGGATTTCCAACGAATTTTCTCACAAACATGCGTATCTGAGGCCACAGATTCCGCCGGGCGGAAATTTCACGCTTAGAAAGTATAATCTGCTCCGAGAGATATGAGCGTGTGGACCCGCATTTGAAATTTAGATCGCGCTATGCGTTCTCTTCATAGACCGCATTTCCCGGATGCAGTCGTAAACGGAGCGTCGTACTTTCTTGAACACTTTCGCATTCGCGCGGACACGGAAGTCGCGAATTATAGCGGACGGGGAACATCACCGCAAGAGAGTTGGCCTCTCGCAAGATCCACGATGAGGCAGATCGGAATAAACCGTACCGTCGCGATTTGCAATAGCCGTAGTAGATTGACAGGTGTATCGGTGGAATTCGATGTTGCAGAAAGGTCAACAACGTGCCAAGCGCGGCCAACGACTGGTCACTATCCGGGAAATCGAGTCTCGATACACTATCGGTGTATTACTCATGAATACGCGAACGGAACGTATGTTCACTAATACGTTCAACCCTTGCACTTCTCTTTCGCTCAATAAATCAATTAATCTGCCCGATGAGGCGTGTATCTTGTGAAAAGTCTACTGTCTATTGGAAAACGTGACATTTAAAACGCCATCGCATGATCTCATCTTATTTTTATATACGCATAGATAAGATTAACAATATTAAAATGGTTTAATGAGATAAGCTATTAAAGCAGTGCAGCAATAGCTTCGAATATAT